TGTGTGTGTGTGTGTGTGTGTGTGTGTGTGTGTGTGTGTGTAACATTTTATTGATTAGCAAGATACATTTACAGTGTGCACTGGTGACTAGTTCATAAGGAATTGCACTGCTAACCCAAAGGTGGTCCAGACCTACCAGTGACTCCAAGGGAAATAGATACACAGTCTTCTTCTGTGTGACATATGGCCTCAGGAAATCTACTGGAGGGTCAGCTCCATGTGGCTTCCAGCTGGGCAGCAGTGAGTGGTGATGATACACGGTGAAACACTCTTTCCTCCTTCCCTCCTCCCTTCATTTATTGATATATTCATGTGGGGAAGGTTTTTTAACTTCTTCAATATAATAAAGAGGCTACCTAGATGATTATACTACTAGTCAACAAGTATTCACTCCATTATTTTTTGGTATATGAGAATACCACTTTATCAGTTGCTTTTATGATAATATAATGTGTATACCTGTCATACTAATTGTGTTACTTGCTGTTTGCAGGTGATATCTAGCTTATCTCAAGCCATAGGAAAGCAAAAGGAAAGAATAGAGTTAATGAGAACATTCTTCCATTGGCGAATTGGACATGTCAGATCCAGACAGGATGTAAGTATAACAATATTAGAAAAGTGACACAGAGTCTACTGTAGACTTGTAAGGTAAAAAATAAGTTAGGATCACATATAAGAAATGTTTTTTAAAGACAGTCATCTGTCAATTATTTCTTTTAATTAGTCAATATACATTTACAGCTTAAAGGCTGCTCTTGTTTCAAAGAAGTTTTATTTTGGTGTAAAACTGAACCAGACACATTTCTGTTGGCTTGATTCCAAATCATCATCAGCCTGTAGGAAAGAGCGAAAATGCCAGTTGGGTTTCCAAGGCTATAAGTCTGTATGGAAGCAGACTATTTAGTTAGCAGCTGTGTGCTTTAAACAGTAAAATCCTAAGCCTCATGATTTTGGTAAACAGGCAGGCATACCTTGAAGATACTACAAATTTTGGTCCTTACCACAACAATAAACAAATAACCTCAATCAAGTCAGTAGCAGAAATTTTTCATTTCCAAGTATGTATAAAAGTTATATTTTACCATACTGGAGTGTATTAGATCTCTGTAGGGAGCTCTGTTGGCTTAGTGGTAAGAAGTTGTGCTGCCAACCCAAAGGCATACAGTGCAACTCTACCAGCCGCTCCTCAGGGGAAAGATGAGCCATCTCCTCCTGCGTGCTTTATTGCCTCTGGAAACCCACTAAGGGTCAGCTAGGAGTCATTGCCACGCAACAGTGTACAACACCATAGTTTACAAAGTGTAAGATGGAAAAAAAATGGAAATATTGTGAGAACTACCAAAATGTAACACAAAGGCATGAAGTGAGCATATGCTTATGGAAGAATGTTGCCACCAGACATGATCAGCACAGGGTTGCCACAAACTTTGAGTTGGTGAAAATATAGTACCTATGAAGCACAACAGAGTAAAACAACACGTCTGCTCAGCTCTCAAAAAACTCTGCACAATTAAAACAGACTTACAAGGGGGTGGGGGGATAAAAAGAAGAACGAACTGGTGAGGAGGGTAGAGAAAACAGTGCAACAATGAATGAATGAAAACCCAAAATCTCTATAAATGTTCATTAAAATTAATAAAATTTAACAATAAAAAAAAAAACAACCTCTTTGCGGTCAAGTTAGAATCGACTGATAGCTGAACCTCCAATAGCTGTGGGTTTTGAGAGGCTCTAGAGGAAATTGTCCATCTTTCTCCCATGAAGCCTCTGGTGGATTCGAAACACCAGAGAGGCATCAGCTTTGGGTTAGCAGCACAACTCCCTATGGCCTAGGCCATCAGAACTCTCTGACTGTGCTGGGGCATTTTTCCAGTGCTGTGAAAAGGGAAACCTTAAAGCAGATTTTACCCCAGATGCTCAAATGGAGTTATGCAGGTTACTGTATTTCTATAGTATAAAATAGTACAAATGTATATTGTGTAGACTTGCCATTCCTGTATGGCATTTTGGAAACAATCTCTAATCATACTCTTCCTACTTCTAAAATAACCTGAATGCAACCTTCATAAGAGGAAATTACTATATTTTTATGTTATAAAATAGTCCAAATGTGTGTTTGTATACAGTTGCCTTAAAATTGTAAGAATCAAAGAAATTCATCTCTGTATGGCTTTTTAAAAATTACCCTTAGTTTGCATGTCCTTGAAAAGTTGAATACTTAATATTTTCATTAAATAAAGCATGAATCAGTATGTCAGAATAAATAAATAATGAACTGAGCAGAAAGAATAAATCGATTCCTGCATCACAGGTGGAGAAGTGTTGTTGTTCCTGTTATTAGGTGCCTTTGAGCTAGTCACTCTGAGTGACTAAACAAGATAAAACTCTGGGCAATCCTGCACCATCCCCAGAATCTCCGCTTTGCTTAAACACACTGCTACAGCCACTTTTTAAAACCTCTCATTGAAGGTCTTCCTCTCCTCTGACTCTCCACCTGTCCAAGCATGAGCCCCCTCCTCCTGCTTACCTGTCCTAAGTATGTGTAATGATGTCTCACCGTCTTTCCCTCTAAGGAGCACCTTGGCCTCATTTCTTCCAAGGCAGATTTGTTTGTTCTTTTGGCAGTCCATGTTATACTCTGCCAGCACCACAATTTAAAGGCATCAGTTTTTATTCCATCTTCCTTATTCATTGTCCAACTTTCACAAGCTTAGAGTATGTATATGTACTAGAATAAGATAGGCGAGTGGCCCAAGGGATAGTGGAGGGCTAGGGAGATGTGCATGCATGTGTATACTTACATAATCTGTACATTTCGCTTCCAAGAGATTGGTTTGCTGTGTCTTTGATATCTCCCCTGGTTATTTTACGTAAAGTCTCCATTACAGCAAATATTTAAGGTAATTCACTTATTTCCGTGGAATAGTTTTTCTCCTTTAAGAATGCTATTATATTTTTTTAGGATTTTTATTAATTGCATTGTTTTTAGGTGCCATTGAGTACAACCCAGAGCAACCTAATTAACAACAATCTGAACTCTGTCCTATCCTGTACCATCCTCACACTTCCTGACACATTAAAGCCCATTACAACGGTCACTATGTCAGTCCACCAGCTCGCAGGTTTTCCTCTTCTTTGCTGAACTTCCGCCTTTCCAAGTATTATGTCCCTCAACAAGATATAGCCCCTCTTAGCAACTTGCTTGAAGTATGTGAGATGAAGCCACATAATCTATGTCTCCAAAGAGCACTCTGGCTGCATCCTCTCCAAGACATATTTGTTCCTTTGGCAGTGCTTGTGATGTTCAATACTCTTCTCCAACACCACGGTTCAAAGACATCAGTTCTTCTTATGTCATCCATAGCCATTGTCCAGCTCTCAGAAGCTAGCAAGTGATAAAATAGTCTGTGGTCTGAATCAGGCACACCTTAGTCCTCAAACTGACATCATTGACCATCAATAATTTGGACAGGTACCTAACTGCAGACTCTCTCAGTACCTATGTCTCCTGATTTCCTGACTGTTGGCACCAAGTGTGTTGACTGTGGATCCAAGTAAGACAGAGTCATGACAGTTTCAATCTTTTCTGCATCTATCACTATGTTCCTTATCAATCCGGGGATGAGAATTTTTTTTTCTTGACATTACAATGCAGTCCGTATTGCAAGCTATATTTGATCTTCTGCACTAAGTGCTTTCAGCAGCTAAGATGTTTGTTATTGATGAGTCCTAATGCCACATTCTTCTTCATGGAGTCAGACTTCTCAGATAATTTGTTCAGAACACATCATTCAGGAGGCTGGGCTTTATGAGGCAAAATGTGGCATCAGGATTGAAGGAAGATTCATCAACAATCTACGTTACGAAGATGACACAACCTTGCTTGCTGAAACTGAAGAGGACCTGAACTGCTTGCTTTAGAAGGTCAAGAACTGTAGTCTTCAATATGGATTGAATTGAAGCTCAACATCAAGACAAAGATTCTTCCCACGGGGCTAATTGGCAGCACTGTAATAGATAGAGAAGAAATTGAGGTTGTTAAGAGTTACAGCTTGCGGGCCCAGGCGGCCGCCTGGCCCCACGGGCTGCACGTCGCCTGAGCCGGGATGCGCCTCGGCGTCCCTCGCCTCCTCGTCGCCCGCGGCCGCCGCGCACCTTCCCGGGACACAGCACACACACCATGACGAAGAAAGACAAGAAGTCCTTCAACCAGAGCCTGGGCGAGTGGAAGCTCTTCATCTATAACTCCAACACCAGACAGTTCCTAGGGCGCACTGCCAAGAGTTGGGATTTGATCTTGCTCTTCTACCTAGTCTTCTATGGCTTCTTGGCTGCTCTCTTCACATTCACAATGTGGGTCATGCTCCAGACACTGAATGATGAATTTCCCAAATACCGCAACCAGATTCCCAGTCCAGGACTTAAGGTTTTTCCAAAACCAGTGAGCGCCTTGGAATATTCATTAAGTGTGTCTGACGCACAGTCCTGTGAAGGATACATTAAAGACCTTGACCGTTTTCTAAAGTCATATAGTCCAGAAGAACAGAAGAACCTCACAGCGTGTCCTGAAGGAATACTTTTTGAACAAAAGGGCCCTGTTTATTCTGCATGTCGGTTTCCTCTGGATTTACTTAAAGACTGCAGTGGCTTGATGGATCCTAACTGTGGCTATTCCAAAGGAAACCCTTGTGTTCTTGTGAAAATGAACCGAATAATTGGATTAAAGCCTAAAGGAGAACCGAAGATAGTATGTACGTCAAAGAATGAACAGATGGCACATGTATCAACATACCCTTCCGCGGGAAATATAGACTTAAAATATTTTCCATATTATGGGGAAAAATTACATGTGGGGTATCTGCAGCCAATTGTTGCCATCCAGGCAGTCTTTGATCCTCTTAACGTTACCAAGAAAGAAGCCACATTTGACTGCAAGATAGAGGGAGCATCCAGCCTGAAAAAAGAGGATGATCGTGACAAATTTTTAGGACAGGTTGCATTCAAAATCACAGTGAATGCATAGTCTGAGTAGGATGTCTGTACAGAGTAAATGTTGAGTTGTTTGTCCCCACTTTGCATCAGCTGGACCTGCCATTCTAGAATTATGAGACGACCTTGGAGAAAGGTGGGTGGTACGTGACACTGGAGTGACACCTTCATGTGCTTCCAGATCACACTGTCCGATGTCCTCTGAAATAACTGCCTGTTGCCTCTGCTGCCCTTTGAACCAGTGTACAGACGCCATATTAGGGACAGGGAAATACCTGATCAAGATCAGTATGATGGGGGTCTTTTCCTCTTTTTGTGTGGTTTAACTGCCAAGTGTCTAAAGCTTAATGTGCTGTGCTGTGTAAATATTGTATGGATTTAACACTGGTTAACTGTCCTTTGATGCCAACACAATTTTTAGGGATAAAACGATAAAAGAAATGGTACTTGACCAACATCAAGTGACTTTATAGCTGCAATCAGTGGGTGTGGTGTGTGGAGACCCCTGAACTGATGTGTGCGCAAGGAGGGCAAAGAAAATAAAAGTGCACTGGAAAGTGTTATTTTGGATTCTTTTGTAAAATTATTTTTTACATGTTTAATTAG